ATTTACCCATATTTACAGTACAGCTAGTGTTACAAACCCTGTTTACCCATATTTACAGTATAGCTAGTGTTACAACCCCTGTTTACCCATCTTCACCGTACAGCTACACAGCGTAAAACTTTTTTGTTGACATTTTTGGCTGTTTCTCTTTATTACTAGAAACAGCAAAAAGATGTATAACAATTAGGTTATCACGAGGATTCTGCAAAGTATGCACAAAGGCAATACAGGATCACATTAATCCCTTTAATACATTGGTCAATATGATCACCATAATGCACTTGTATACTCTGTGGTATTCTTGAAATAACCTCTTATTATTTGTTATTTCATTAGTATGAATATTTAATTTTGTAATTTACATATTAGCAAGGATAAGATGATGGATTGCAAGTGGTGAGGTATGCGATAAAGATCTCACACAAATTGCGAGATGATCACAAAAACACTTGACAAATATACATTTCTCAAAATGAGCTATTCTATGAAAGACCTTGCCTGACATGTAGGCGTGCGTGGCACCCTCGCTAGCCGAACGGCATCAGACTCCACGTTGGAATTTGAGCACCGCAGAGGGTGCAACTTGTGCGACCTTGTCAGGCTATGAAAGAACTGGTTCTAGTTTTCAGAACAAGGCGTTTATTACGTGCGTTTTGTGTTTTTGTACATGTATATGATCATATTCTTGCTCATATCTCTTTTCACAATCAAACCTTTCCAAGCGTTCATTGCGTTCTGTAATGCTATTGGTTAGAACCGTGTTAAATTGACTCGCACATGAAATATGGAATCTTCATTGCATATCTCCATACAATGTATGTAAATATAAAATTTGCATAATTTATCTTATAAATTCGTGATTATAATAAATTCTGTCGTCTACTCACCTACATTTCAAAATCCAATCAACAAGTTGCAAATTCTCACTTATCGATGTATGTTCATTAATTTTAATTTCAGTGTGCCTGTATCATTATTAATATTGTACATGAAATGTATGCAATATCACCCATTGTTGAGAGTGAATTAGTCCACCTCTATTGTTTTAGTGTTGGATCATACCAAATCGTCATTGACATTAGACGTGTACAACTCTGCATGATTCATTTGCCAGGTTTTTTGTAGCTACTACTTGTTTTCATTGTATTGTATTGATAAAAGCATGGTGTTTACGTCATAATTGTTAAGACCCTGGATTCTTTCACAGCTTTTATATGGGTTTTTATTTCCATATTTTTAACGCCAAAGTCAACTTTTGATCCAAAATAATACAAGAATACCTTAAAATGTGCACAATATTGGATTAAAATTGTGATTTTTGGAAAATATGGAATCAGTGATCAAAGATCAGCCTCAGCAGTGACATGAAATATCACTATTTGATCAGTTTCATGGTCAGATATCAGCCAAAGGTCATTATATGCAGTGATGGGGTCAAAACTCTTGAGGAGGGTCAACAGTCAAAGTTCATTTCATAATAGAAGCTCTGAAAAGGTCAAGGGTCATCACACATTTGTTTTATTTTCAATTCCATTGAATTTGTTTTCAGTAAAATCAACATGGATAAAAAAAAAATCACTTCCTGTATACTCAGAATGTTCATTAGTACTTCTGTTTATTTTGTTTTAATACAGGGTCCTCCTGGTCAAAGAGGCGATAAAGGAGACAGGGTAGGGAAATCTGTTCACATTTTTACACCAACAGAAACATTATATATTACCAGCCCATATACAATGTATAGAGAACCGAATTAATACTTCAGACTTGATACTTTATTGTAAATACTTCTGTCCATAGCAATTATTGTAGAATACTTTATTTTTGCTTGGAATTTATTTTCGCTATTTTTGCTGAAGGGATGATTCTGTGAAAATAAAATCCAGCAAATATACATTTTTTCCTATATTTCACATTAAACTCATCAAAAACCGGTGAAAATAAATTCCATACAAAACGCCCAAAAAGCCTTTTCAGCGAAAATTAAATCCAGCGAAAATAATGTATTCCACAGTATGTTTTTCAAATTATAATATTCATGTTGATGATACACTACAGTGTGAAAGTCAATTCACTTGCTCCTATGATAAACATGTGATGTTTTTGAAAGTGTGGAAATTGTAATTTAGTTATATCTTGTACCATATGCCCAAATTAAATGTTATGGACAAATTTCAGAGTGCCCTTTTACATAACACTTCATTGGCAAGGTATTAATGATTTAGCTATGTTTTTTTGTTTTTTTGCGAATATACATTAAAGTTTGTTCCTTTCTTGGCAGGGTGATATGGGTAGGCGGGGTAAAAAGGGTAACCGAGGAGAAAAAGGAGAGCCTGGTGCACCTGGTCTTGATGCGCCGTGCCCCGTGGTAAGTTTACGAATCCATAATTTTCCAAATTTGGAGGCTCATTCAGAGTTGATTATTGATGCACTGGGTCACTGCTTACACTATCAAATGAACCCAACATACGCAACTGTTTAAGGATAAATAGATATTTGGATGACTGTGTTTAATGATTATTAGATGACTACAAGCAAGACATTAAATTGCATGGCAAAAATGCCAAGTGATTCTGAAACATGTATTGGCCAATCACAATGAGTTCCGACAAATTTTAGGATTTTGTTAGCATGTTGCTGCAGGTACGAGTGACATGTAGTAATATTTTATAATTGTTTACTCTCAGGGACCTGATGGACTTCCGCTACCGTGGTGTAGTGGCACATATAGTTTTCCAAACACGTAAATTACAAGGTAATAGTAATTCATTTTCAGTGCAGTTATATTGTTACTTGAAGTTTTATTGGAATATTGAAAAAAATAATGGAACAATTTGGGACAAGAACAAGTTTACAGTAGAATGAATAGACTCTTATTCGAAGTCTGTAGCCCTCACAGTTTCTTTTGAGAGAGGTCTGTCAGGTGAACTCAGAAAGAGGCTACTTTTCTTCCTAAAGTGACCAATATTTTTTCCCTCCATGTTTTGCATAGATACATTATTTTATAAGAGACCCAGAGATTAATACAGTGCATGTAGTATTTAGTGAGGAACATGAATATAATTGTATATTATTATTCTTGTTCATTTTTGGTCAGAAATGCTCCTATCCATGCAAAACATTTATGCAATGGTGCATAACTTTTATTCTAACTTTGTTCCGCAAAGAAAAGATTGTAAAGTAAAAGGCAGCATGTACAGCCATCATTAATTTGTTGTTATTCTGTATTTTTATTTGTTATTTTATATCTACATTCTCAATGGGCAAGTATGTAATAATTGCTTTGAAGTAAAATTGCAAAATTGTTCTTCGGGGAGACACTGCAAAAGTAAAGGAAACTTTAATCTCACCTCACAAACAGTTCTTGCTTTATTTTTCAGACTGAATTTTACAAGAAGAGTGTCTTACTTAATACACTGTGTTGAATACAGCAAAAGATTGTACATAAAGATATTGAACTATCAAAAAGGCTATTATAATAATATTATTGTTATTTGAATGTGTTTAAAACAGTTTATATGTATCTAAATGTCCAAAATATTTTGAGTATTGTACTTTTAGCTCACTTCGGAGTATTTTTTTTTTAGCAAACGATTGGTTGTTAGATATACTCTAATTTAAATAGTTCGTCATGTGATACATCTCAGCCAATCAAAGAGAAGGATCAAGTTGTTTTTAAATATTTTTTTTTTTGCAATCAGAATAGTTTTTATCAGATTTTTATTTTTGTTTAAATGACATTATAGTGTAACTGTTTATTTTTTTTGAAAAAAAATAGCTCATGTAAATCGATCATCAAATGAAATTTTAATATGAATGAAATGTTTCAACTGTACAAGGCTTATTTAACTACTCATTGAGGTTGAAGTATGGAGTAATTTGCGTGGCAATGTTCAGTGTAACATTAGGCAAATATTGTGCGAGACAAAAATATTATTTTTATGCTGTTCTGTATATGTTATGAGGTCTACGATGCAGAATAAACGATGGCGCAGAGAGCACAGAGATCCTGAACATCCAATCACGTGGTGGGTTGCGAATGAATACGAGAGATCAGTACTTTATTTGAAGTTTAGTTTAGAGTTTAAAATATCAAGCAATGAACAGAGTACGACAACTGTTGTATTATTAACATCTGAATTTTAATTAACCTTATTCGATATGAAGACTGTATTTTTAAAGACACACATTTGTATTTTTAAAGACACACATTTGGGTTTTGGCATTGAGAGTTGTTGGGAAAGGGGGAGTTATTTATAGCATAAATAAATCAAGTAATGGTTTACTAACCCTAAATGATAAAAAAAAAATGCTCTGTGTACGTCATATCGCTATGAATCTTGGGATTGACTTGTTTTATCAGGGCGTAGATTGAATAAGTGAATAAAAACCATTTGTAAATCAAAAATAAAATGTTGGGGTTAGATTTAGACACGTTCCATTTCTGTGATTTTTTTAACCTTTTCACCACTAGACTTCCTGGCTTAAATTTTCCTGCACTTTTTTATTTCTTGTATTCCTCAATATTTCTTGAAATGAACAATATTTTTAGAGCCAACAGACACAAATTTGAGGAAATTTTCATTTTTTTCGTAAAAAAAAAATTGGCTATTTTTTTTTTTTTTATCTCTGAAGGAAAGTGCAGACTATAAACAGGACTATTTTGTGAATTTGTGATAAAAAAGAGGGAACTGGTGGTGAAAAGGCTAATGGGCACAAGATGCTGGGTTTTCGTATCTATAGCAATAGCAATATGTCTAAGGTCTTTATCAAGTTGGTTACCCAGTTGTACTCTACACTTTGTGTATTCCGGCTTAGTGGTAATAGTTTTGAGGATTTTGGACGATTAAGACTAAACTGCCTACTTATAAATAAAGAAAAAATGTGCAACATAAAATAAAGCAACTAGAGATTCTGTTACTTTGTTCAGAATAAGTCCTGGCAAAGTTTCAGAAGTTTACTATATCTGAACAGTTTTTAAGCTTAAATTCAATATCATGCTCTATTTAAAAAGAACAATTTGCATTATAGAGCTTGTTTTTCTTGTACATTTGTAGGCTGTTAAATGAAAATCTAGTATTTAACTGTTCAATATATTTATAATATTGCTGTGTATATACAAGATACTGCATGCTTAGTGTATCACCTGTTGGGCCAGATGTTATGCGTGTTTTAAGATTTCAACTAGACGAGCCAAAATTTTAAACTTGTTCTCCTCGACTCACCAACATTTTAAACTTGTTCCCCTAGACTAGCCAACATTTTAAACTTGTACCCTAGACTAGCCAACATTTTAAACTTGTACCCTAGACTAGCCAACATTTTAAACTTGTACCCTAGACTAGCCAACATTTTAAACTTGTTCCCCTCGACTAGCCAACATTTTAAACTTGTTCTCCTAGACTAGCCAAGATTTTAAACTTGTTCCCCTCGACTAGCCAACATTTTAAACTTGTACCCTAGACTAGCCAACATTTTAAACTTGTTCCCCTCGACTAGCCAACATTTTAAACTTGTTCTCCTAGACTAGCCAAGATTTTAAACTTGTTCTCCTAGACTAGCCAAGATTTTAAACTTGTTCCCCTCGACTAGCCAACATTTTAAACTTGTACCCTAGACTAGCCAACATTTTAAACTTGTTCCTCGAGACTAGCCAAGATGTTAAACTTGACTCTCTAAACTACATTTGTGTAGCTAAAATGTTAAACATGTCCCCCTAGAATAACCAAAGTATGTAAAATATTGTTCTAGCAGGAATATAATTTTCATAAATATCTTTTATACGTAAAATTATTAGTTTAGTTATCCAGGGTAATAGCTCATTTCGTCACTGCCAGTATTTATGGTTAAAAATATTTTACATCCCTGATAATCAGTGTAAGTTTGCAAATTATCCTTATAAGGAAAAAACAATTAGCATATATTTTGAAATGCCAATCACATGGAACCTTTCATGGTTCAAAAACTGAAATGTTATGTAATGAATATTTTGATTGGTTGATTTCCCTTCGGAATGTTTTTTTTTCTCCCTGGCAATTCCTAACCCAACAATCTCCGACACAGGGGTGCGTATGTAATATATATATATATCAAAAGGGTATCAAGTCTTGCTTGCTTTCTGCAAGGTGTATTTTGATTTTCTTTCTTGTTAAGTATTTAACCAATGATCTATTGTCTTTATAAGTTTGCTTCAAATTTTAAGAATACAGGGAAATGTTTTCTTTAGTGTACAGTTGATCTGTACTGAGTTTTCATCAGACTCTCTCTGAGAAATTCTTCTCTTTGATTCAACCGTAGTGGTGATATATCCTCGGGGGCGGAGCTACGTCACAGACGTTCCACGTTGCTAAGACGCGCACCACTGTACCATGCATTTCTATGGGCTCTGTGCGCGCTGCTGTGGAACGCCGGTCGAGCCGGTGAAAATTCGAGAAAACAACACAAACTCAACTTTAAAGTAATCGCGAACAACCAAATTTATATATGTTACACACGTAGGGCTAATCTTGTTACACTGTTCAGAAGAGTCAACAATCACCCCAAAGTACCGTTTTATGCGAGTTTTGGGCCTTTGTTTTCACCGCCGTGGGTTGCCAGGTGGTGAAAATGCCCGGATGTTCGCCCCCGAGGATTGGCAGTCATTATGTGAAATAATGTACGGTTAAACTGGTCATTATATAAAATAATGTACAGTTAAACTAATCATTATATTCAGTAGGTAGTTTAAATCGAACAAATATTTTATTAACTTGAAATGAACATTGCCCTTTGATTTGTTCCGGTAGTCACGTTTTTATGTTAATTTGAATCAAATTAACCAAAACTTCCCAGTGTTTGGTGCACCTACCTTTTCCGCAGGATGTACATGTAAGGTTATATTGCACTTAGATTCAAAATGAAATATGAGCTTTACGTTTTGGTATTTGTGGGACACTGGAAAACGTGCCTTTTAAGCAATCATGTTATTTTATCTAAAATGTAATTTCATTAATTGTTTATTCTTAAGAGTCTGTTAATTCACACGCAAGTCAAATTCACTAAAATGGCATACTAGTCGGTAGTGTTTTACCTACAGTAGGCTACTGTACGTTTGTCGCTTAAAAAAAATGTTTAATTAGAATGAAATAGATCAACATGTTACGAAAGTGAATTGTCCCAAATTAATGCTCTCTGGGTGAAAGATAATCCCTGATCACAAAAAAAAATAAAGATCACACCAAACCTTTTTGCTGTTAAGTTGAATGTACCATCATGAAGGCGTAAACTCTTCCAACACCAAGATAAACTTTATTTCTATATTTATAAGTTTTGATCAAGGGCTGTAAGCAATGGGAAATGTTTGCTCCATAATTTAATGTACAAAAAATTCAAAAGGTTTAATGATGTGATGGAAGGCTGCATTCCTGTATTTAAAATTGTTTTTCCCTTCTACAAAAGACGAAACTTCTAGTTTTTCCCATGTCAATACTGGTAATATTGGCAGAGAATATATATGTATTGATATATGTGGTTTATAAAATACCTTTGTAGATGTTTTCATTTTATTTTATTTTATTATAAAAACAACTTTCATTACTTGACAGTCAGTAATTGTAATTGTTGCTTGGTTTGTGGGCGCAATCAAATATAACTGCTGCATCTCTTCACTAAGTGTATACAAAAACTATTGAGATACAAATCAAAAGAACTTACCTACTTTAACCTGTGCCAAATTATTAAATCAAAAACATTACTTTATGTATCATAT